ACTTGATGATAAAGGAGAGAGGAAACTCCCCAACTTCTTACAAAACCAAGAAACACTGGATAGTATCCAGTAACCACCAATTCTGTTATTCAAGTGATAATTCCCACCAATGCTGGTAAACAGCCAGGACTCACTGTATGTGCCATCAAGATTTAATGTTTCCTAATTAAACATTAAACCCCAAAATGAGCAAAAACACTCATATGTCAGAGGCACTCTTTTAGCTGAGTCCACTGATCTGCCCAATTCTAGAAATAAAATTGTTTGTTTGTAGCTGGCCCCCCAAATGCCAAGGTAACAGGCAAGGGTTTAAGCACTCTTCTGGATATAGCCCTCCATTGTCTTACCTGTCCAACATAGCGTAAGAAATCCAATCACATAAGCAGATTTCCATTTATGTAATTGGACTTCCCTAACCTCTCCTTTCCCATACAGCATTCCACACCCATCCCAAACCTGAAAGGCCTCTCAACCAGAGTTTTATGATGGCCATTTTCAAAAGGCAGACTGGGATGCAAGCTGAAGTGATACAGAGTAGACATGTCTCATCTGCAAAGATCTGATAATATGATTTTCTGTGATCTAGATGTTTGAAACATTTATGTTGTGTTTATCAAAAGAAAAAAGAGTTAATGAATGCTTCACTGAACAATTGTGCCACACAAGTAATCAGTTTTTAATAGAAAATTGTATGTGTTTTATGAAATAATTACCGGTACATAACTACATACAAATTGTCAAGGGAAACAATATATATTCTGTTTCCTCACACACACATTTTCCCATTCCTTTCTGGAAAAGAATAAAGGGACACAAAAAGGAAGGAGTCAAAGGTCACTAACATAGCATCAGTACAGTTTCTAAATGGCAAAGCATTCAAGCAAAGGTTACTTTTTTGCCTAAAATATTTCCACTTTGCCTCTCATTCTAAAATTAGATTATATTTTTATCAGCCTTCCAACAGGCACATTTCCTGGCTCAAAGGGGATCTAGATTTCCTCTAGTAACTGGTTTTTACTATACACTGTGCATAAATATAGGATTCTCTGCACAGTGTCTAAGTGAGCTATGAATCAAGAAGTCCCCTCCAACTGCAATAATGGGAGCCCCCAACTGCAAAACTGAATTACCTTAAAAGATTGTAAGAATTACTACCAAATCATGCAAAGGAAGCACTCCAGGCACTTTAAAAGTATCATACAAATGTTGAGAATTACTACTCACATGTTACTATCAGATTCACATCCCTATTCACTGTAATTGATTTTTCCTACTTGAACTAACATGGTCACATGGACAAAGTTGGTTTGAGACATGAATTATTCAGGGAAAAGACCATGTCTGCATTCAACCAGTGTTTAGAAAGAACAACAAAGCAATGCTATGGTAACAGTGGCAGAGGACTTGCAGACGTTACAGAAATGACATCACTGTATTAGCAAAACAAACATCAAGAAAGTCCTTGTTTCAGCTTCTATATAAAATACTAGTGTATTCATCAACTTTGGTTTAAACATAGGCCCCAGAGCTCATTTTTGAGCACATTAAAAGGTTAAGTTTGACAGAAGTCGTAAGCATGGTATTCTACAAGTTTGTTACTCGAAAGACAGTGCAGTAATTAAATGTTTTACCAAATAATTAAATTTTTAATTTAATTAAGACATTTCTATGCCCTCCTTTGCAACAAGCCTCAGAACGGCTTACAAACAATAAAAACAGTGGTATAAAATACAATTAAAACATTCAATAATAACACAGCATAAACAAAAATTCATAACTAAAGAAAAAGAAAAAAAGGAAAGAAAAAAGAAAAATGACTGTGTACGATTATTATTGTTATTAAAATTTATATTAATTGTTAAAATGGTGGTTAAATAAAAAGGTCTTTACCTGGCGCTGAAAGGAGTAGAAAGAGAGTGCCAGGCGGACCTCTCTGGGGAGCGTATTCCATAGTATGGGCGCCACAAATAGTTTTGTTATAAAGTACTGAATTGTTTTACCAACTATGTATGAGCCATACTTATCCTAATTTGCAAAGAATTTATCCATTCTCCTGAGTAGTGAATGAAATATGCAAAATAATACAATTATGACTATGGTCTTATAAAACATTGCAGTAGAATTTGCTAACATCTGTTGACATATACAGTCTTCACAGTTTTCTATAAATCATTGTCATTTATGTTATCTGTAAAAGTGATAAAATTTCAGTGAATAGATCAATTAACTTAATATCATCTGCAATACATAAACCAGAAAAGCCATTTATGTCAACTCGTCAGCTTTCCACACACCTTATTTTATGCCATCTGTAAAGTACAAGGGGAAGATGAAATTGTACTTTCTGTCTGTCTGACTTCTGTTAAAAGTTAGATCATGTTCTATAATCAGAAAATTTAATGATTCAAGGAAGAAAGCTTGAAATATTGACGAACATCAAGGGCAAGTATTTCAATTTTGAGCAGAAATTTTAGTAAACTTTAAATGCCTTCAAGACATATTTGTTTCCCTAATCTGTAATAGACTATGATTTTGTTCTATGTTATAATCATTTCTTATAAAGTTTTAAATTATTTTTAATTATATTACCCTTACATTATTTTGATATTGCCTTAATATTGTACTGTGTACTATTTAGAGATTTTAGACTGTTTTCAGCTGTCTCGGTGCACTATCTGAAAAAAAGACAGAGCACCATCTGAATATAGCATAAGCCATCATCCCCAGGTTCCTCCCCTCCATCACATTCCTTTAGTGACCTCTGAGGCCAATTTACAGCCTTGGAGTGGCAGCTGGCATGGTTCTTTCTGTGCCAGCTGCAAGAAAAACAGAGTGTGAGCGCCATGTTTGGAGTCCCAGTTCCAAGGTTGTGTCCCTACATCTTGTAAAAGTATTATAAAAAACAATAAAGAAATTGTCATCTTCAGGCAAACGGATAGTGTCACATGTTACACATTAATTTGGAGATCTAACTAAATGTGATGGTGGGAGAACCTCTGTGTTAGAATTTGGGTAATACTAAAAAGGCACAAAGCAGATCTGAGCTATATAAAGCAGAGAAGCCATCACTAGGAAAGGGTCACTGATCTCTACTTTTCTGATCTCAGAAACCCATTAGGAAAAAAGGAGCTGGGAGACCAGCATTCTGAGTGTAAGAACGTAAGCAGGAGACGCCAAAATTCCACTCCCACCCATCAGTTTTCTACATAGAATCCAAATCCCCACTGTTTTGTATCCAATTAGATATGTTCTAAAACATGGGTCCTCAAACTACGGCCTGTGGGCCGGATCCAGCCTGCCATGCTCATTTATCCAGCCCCCCTCAGAGGTTTTGGACTCGCTCAGAGAAAACGATCTCCAAGCAAGTCCAAAAGCTCTGAGCTGGCCCAGGCGTTCTTTGAAACTGAGCAGAGAGCCAGTGCATGCGCCAAATTGTAAGAGCTCAACTGTGCATGCACCAGCTCTCTCCCCAGCCCCGCATTGTATGCATATACAGAGCAGGAATATGGAGTGCGAAACAGAAGAAAGGGCGGCAAAAGAGAGAGAGAGAGAGACAAAGACACTAAAAAAGGATTGAAGAAGCATATAACTTTTTAAATCTATTTTTAATTATGTAAGCCATGTCCCCGGGCTGCAGGCCTTCTCTGTGTAAGCCACGGCCGCCTCACCGAGCCCGGGGCGGACAGGCTGAGGCGGAACAGGGGCAGGGCCCCCGCACTTCCACTGTGGCCTTCTCTGAGCAAGTGAGCAAACATTTTTTCATTTTTTAATCAATTTTTAAATGTTAATAATTTTTAATTTATTTTATTTTAATTATTTTTAATGTGCAGTGTGCATAGGAATTCATTCATTTTTTTTCAAACTATAGTCAGGCTCCACAACAGTCTGAGGAACACTGAACTGGCCCCCTGTTGAAAAAGTTTGACGACCCCTGTTCTAAAAGATGGTGGCCAAAACATCTATCTAGTATCTCAGACTGGATGGCAGGATTTGACTATTCCCTGTGCACAAAAGAGCAGCATATCAGGGAAGTTAGCCTAGAATATAGCAAAAAACTTCATACACACATCACCACACAATGTAAGGAACTGCACAAATTGCCAGAAAATCATGTTTGCATATAATGGATCATCTAGGAACTTCTGGGTTGGACTATATGTATTAAGTATGAGGACACTAAACAGAGTCTAAGGCTGTATTTCTAAATATGTATGTGTAGCAGTAGGTGTCAATGAAATTAGTGACTTCTGAATAGCCATGCAATAACCATGTTCCCCTGGAAAGTTTTGTTTCAAAGATACAAAGTTATGACACTGCCATCCTTTTGAAGAGAAGTCCACTTATCACACAATCCTTGCATTTTTAATACCCTAAATTTCATTTCCTGACCTTTTCAGAACTGACTAGGGGTAAGCAACCCTTTCCGAATCTGTCCCTCCAGAATCTGTGGACTTCCTCTCATGAGGAGACTGGTCCTGCAGAGCAAATGCAGCCAAGAGGTAATCCACAAATGGCCACAGACGCCAAGCAGCGTAACCAGCAACCTTCCCCAATCACCAATACCAGGGCCCGACCTCCTTTCCAGCTTGCTGCCACCATCAACAGTCAGCATGCACAGCAAAAGGGCAGAGCGAGCAGACATGCTGAATGCCATTCCCAGCTGACAACTTCCTCCTTCACTTGCAGCAGCCAGTACCAGCAGTGAGCACAAAATAATGGCACTGCTTGTGCAGTGCATGGGTTGAATTCCTGGCAAGCACCCTGTGAACCCTGGGCAAGATCACAGGAACCTGGATTCTGAGCTACTGCAAAGCAGACCAGAGTCCTGGAAGCTGAAGAGAGGGAATCCAATGGATTCCCTCCACAAAATGGGTTCTTTGCACATCCCTAGTTCTGACTCCCAATTTTTAACTTTTAATTGAAAAATTTTAGCTACAAATGGGGGTTAAGACAAATGCATTCCCTTTAAGTAAAGAAAATTGAACAGTCACAGTATTTACCTGATTGAAATTTCTGAAGATGAATTCTTTGTAAATGGCATCTCTCTCAGTGAGTTCAGACCAACCTGCAGCTTTGAGGTCATATAAAACTTGGCTCCTTTCTTCTGTAGTCAACCAGTGAGACTGTGAAGACTATCAAGCCAGAAAATAGAGAGAAACTGTATTCAAAAAACAAATTTAACAAGTTTTGCTCCTTATCAACAGTAAGTATGTTTTGATGTCAAAATGGTTTGTGTATTCTCAAACAAAATTAGGAAGAATAACAGTGGCAGAAAATGTATTTCAATAGTTTCAAAATATCAGGCAAGCAAAGTTCATTCATTTGCAGTGTCTAAAATTATATATCGTAGCCTGCAATCCTATATACACTTACTAATGTGTAAGAATGATTAGAGACCTTAGCTTTTTTCCAGCAATCTAGATGAAGTGCTAATCAGTGAAATTTGCTTTTGAATAAATGCACAGGATTGTGCTTTTACTTAAGGAGGTGATAAAGAGTCCACATAAACAAATTTAAAGGTAAACATATTTAAATCCCACTAGTTTCAATAAAAGCATGCATTTCACTCTTTCTCAGAGAAATCTACTGAACTTTAAAAAGTTCAGTTTTCTAGATTGTACCCAATATTTTTTCTGAACTACAGATAGTCCTCAAGTTTTGTTACTGAGAAAACAGAAATTTGTCTTTAAGTTGAATTTGTATCTAAGTCAGATGACATATAGTTGGCCCTCCACATTTGTAGGGATTAGGGGCACAGGACCCTGTGAAAGGGGAAAAACCACAAATTATCTCTAGGCCCCTGCCTCTGCCCAAACTCACCAGTGCCTCCTCTTTGCAGCAAGGAAACACCAGAGAGCTTTCCCTCTCTAGGTGGGTGGAACATTGAAGGCCTGTTCTGCAAGCTTCCTTCTCTCCCTTTCCATTTCCTTTCTTTCTATGGTGATGACAATTTCCTGCAGTAGGCCTCTAAACTGAAATTTTAAATTAATTGGCTTTTTGGCAGTTTGTTTCAAAGTATGGGCTATTTGTAACTGAGACATTTCTTACCCAGGGACTCCCTGTATTCAAAACTACCTATGTTCATTATTAGAACAGTGAGTTTTGCTGGGCTAAGCATCCACCACTTACAATATTCAAATAACTAGAAAACAGTTCAGTTATTTTATTCATTTAAAAATTAGGAAACCTTCCACCAATTCTAAATGGCTTTGATGTATGAAAAATCAGTACATATGTACTTTAAATTAGAACAATATAAATAATAGTAAGGGTGGTTATGCAGATTATATATAATTACATGGTTCTCCCCAAAAGCAGAATATACTTTTGAAAAAATTAAGGTGCAACAAGACTGTTAGGGAAATAGCATTTTGTGCCTGTATAGATGTGATGATACTGATCCCCTAACCATTATTAAGGAATAGGGGCAACTGAAAATAGCAAAGTCAATCCTTTGAGTTTGATGATATAATCAAAACATCATCTATACACAAGAAAGTTTTAAAGTTTACAAAACTATTTTAAAATAAACCATTTTTTCCAGGCTCCATTTGCCTACTCAAATGCAAAATGACCCTAAAAATTCAGGTCAAAGAACACTGCTAACGGGGGACTGATTTTTTTTTTAAATTCCCGACTGAATATTATATGTTTTCTCTGAATATACATTATCTGTTATATAAATATCTTAGGATTAAGGTATTTACATAATATTCCAAATGAAATGTTAGATGCTCAACTGTAAAATTAGTGCAGTACTCAGGTTCCATATAGATTGCCTTGCCATAAGCAGATTTTAGGGATAGTTCTACACTTAAGGAGTGTTATTTGTTTAATTCACCATCCTACACACAGTTAGCTGAATTCAGTATCACTTACTATTGAGTAGATATGCTCAGGGCTGTACTGTTAGAGACCTAGGAAAGCTAAATCTGTGCTGTTATTAAAATATTAGAACATTATTATTTCAAACTGGCTTTTAAAGATCAGGATTAGGCAAGGTCTGAGGGAGAAATAATCAGAATACACATTAACAATTTTAGCAATGTTCTAAGTTTTTGCCTAAGCTACACAAATGGTTCAAGAAAAACTCTTGTAAAAAAAAGAATATAACAAAATATAACAAATACACTCAAAAAAGAATATAACAAATACACTTTGTTATTTACATAAAATATATTTGATATGCCAGTTAAATGTTTGAATTACTAATTCTGAAACTCAACAATGTATTCAGCAATTCAACTGCATACTGACATACATATTAACAGTGGGCAATTTTTGAAACTCAAACCCTATATATTCAAGAAATAAAATTTGTTATATGAAAAGTTAATCCTGACCACTAGATGGCTCAATATTTCAAATCTAAATAACTATGGGGGGGGGGGGTGAGTAAAGTCACAAACAAAAGCAAACATTTAAGATTTTTCCCAACCCAAGTTTTCTAGCCAGTAGACAAACATCAGATCACCATGTTTAAAAACATAACTTCATACAAAGGAACAAAACATACATCATAAACAGGAAACTTACATTTAACATAATTTTACAACAAAAATGAAGTTCTTCATTTAGCATTATTCATAAGTCCCTCAATTTAATGATTACTTGACAGTGATGACAATGCTTTCACTTGTTCTACAAAAGGGAATTATGATACTTAGTAACAGAAATTATATTTGCCATTATTTTCCCTGTACCATCCAACTCCTATTCATGTACTGGAATACAAAAGTGGAATTTACTATGGAAAGATTAATATAAATATATATATTGTATAAGCCATCAAGAAGCATTGGACAAGAGTTTATTCCAATGAAACATTTCCAAAGAATTATATTTCTCCCTTACATAAAGTATGTAGACTACAATAATGTATTTATTTATTGCACAATTTTGAAAATATCTTAATCATTAAAAATCAGTTTGGGACATTGTTATTTAGTCAAATTAACTACATATTAAAAGACCAGTAGTAATTATCAACAAACCTATGATGATTGATTTAGTTACAATATATTTTATGACTATAAGGTTATTTTGTCTGTGTGCATTTATTTTGCATATAAATAACAATACTTAAAATTTTCACATCTGATCTTAGAAGAAAGGAAGGCATAATATTGTTCAGACCAAAAAAGCCAAGTGAAGAAGCTGGGGATAAATGGGGCAGGAAGAATTGGCTGTAAACATGCAGCCTCGCTGCAAGTATCAGATGTTTTCCTGGACGCTAAGTCAAAGGGCACTGATGTCAATAATCCTTTATCCCCCTGTTCTCTCCTGACAATGCCCACTGAATACCATTTAACTACTAATGATATATGAATTACTAATACATAAGACAGAGATTAGCACATTCCCATACTTTGGCTTTCCTGGGTGATGTCAAAGAAATTGCTTTTTATTTACTTAGCATCTGTAACCCAGTCATGTGGTAGGATACAGTCACTAGATCATGGGTCAAGCATGGTTGCTTCAGTTGTTTGTCCAATGTTTACATTTCAATGTCCAAGCACTGTTTACTTTACTGCTGTACAATTCCACTTCCCCTCTTCAGCAGCTTTGCATATGAAAACCAGGTTAAGACTACTTTGGGCATATACATATTTGAAAGTATTTGCCTGTGTGTGTGGAAGTCATAAGTGAATTATATCTCCCAACTCCCCCATGAAATAAGAAAGAAGCATTTTTACTTTCCTTTTTTTTTTTTAACATGAAAGGAACCTGAGACATAGATTTTTAGATGACTTACTCAGATCACAAAGCAAGTTTGTAGCTGAGTCAAGGATAAAACCCAGACCTTCAGATTGTACAAACATCCTGTATATTTTACTAGAGTGTATGACCCACCAAATTTACCCTGTGATTTATACTCAGGCCAAAGCTTTCTTTTAACCCCTACCAAATGGTGATCGATGCTAATACTCTCATCATCCAGATAATCCCAAGAAAATTATTTTAAAGAAAATTACTTGTAATTGGTTGGAATCTTTGACAATGAAAAAGTATCAGAAATGCTTATTAATAGAATTCCAGATTGCTTCTGTCATAAAGGTGATTAAAACACCAGGGCTGCTCGGGGTTCTAGGGTGGCAGAAGACAAATGTTCTTGTATATACCCTGAGGTCAATGCCATCACCCCAAACTAGATGGCTAGCACCGAAGTAGCTTACACTAGCAAAGAGCAAACATCTATTTCATCACAGTGGTTACAACAAGCCAGAAATTTCATCCCGTAATAAAGTTTTGTGGATACTGAAGATCTAGTGAAACACAAAGCAAATGCAACATTTAAAAAGGCTGATTTCAAGCCTGTATTTCTCAGTTTATAAATCTTTTTAAAATATGTTTTTAAACAATCTTTTAAAATTCTAGATTTCAAAATCTATAATAATATTCCAGATTTATACTTAGAAATGTAACTATATACTCAGTACAAACATGCACAGTTGTTTTCCATAAAATGGTTTTTCTAGCAACAGATAAATCAGCCACAAGGGGCTTTGGTAAGCCCTCCCAATGACTTTGGGATTTCACCAAGAATTGCCCATAATTTTTTCAAAATCTACCTTAGGGTCATTAAGGCCAGAAGTTTGATTTTTACAAATATTAAATGAAATCTAAAGGTCTTCACAAGGCTCCATGCTTTCATAGCACAATCATGTTACTCTATCATGGGGAGTAATTTGTACTCATAATGGATGGCAGGAATTAGTAATTACTCAACTTCTGACATGTACATAAGCATATCGTTATTTACCATGAATCATAAATACCTGTACCTACAAAGCCCTAATTGTATTCCTAATACATCCACTCTACACCTTTGGATCTATTATCATTGTATGTTTTGTAGTAGTTACACATAAAGTCAAATTAAGTCACAGGATGCTAAAAAAAGCATGGTTTTATTACAAGAGAAGTGTTATGTGTTTTGGGTCTAAGTATGGGCATCAGGTGTCAAGTTTTTATAATACATGCCTGCTGAGATCTCTGAAAAAGATGAATCCTGTGACTGGTGACAAGCCACATGTTATTTTCTTAATCTAGAGCCTTTATCTTTTTGTTCCATTGGACAATTTTGGATGTTCTCCAGTTTTGTTTTACCCAAGCTTTGTTTTACAAGCTCAAGAGGGTCAACATAGTTAGTAGACTTGGATTAGGAAAATCTGGATTCAAATCTGTCTTCTACCATGGAGCTCACTTGATGAATTTAGGCCAGACGCTTTTACAGTTCAACCTACCTCACAGGACTGAGAAGATAGCATGTTAAAAATATTTATACCACCCAGACTATGTGGAGAAAAGGCTAGATATAAATGAAGCAAATTGTTATGAATTCTTACTTTTAAACCATAAACTGTCATGCACTAAACAATATCAATAGTTTCCAGTGTTTCTTCTCTCATTATAATACACCTCTCTGCTATTCAAAATGTATCATCTTCATTTTTTACACTTACATGATACTGACACTTACCATGACAAAGCTGTAACTAGCACAGCTTCCCTGCAAATCTTTAAACAAGGTTGCAACTCAAACCTCTGAATTCAAGGCAAGTTGATTTGGAATAACTATCACACCATAATTGTGCATATTGTTTCATATTACAACTTTGGCGGCTATATATTTGTAACTTGCAGTGAGCCCTTAAGACAGGACTGAAAGAATGGGGGAAATCTACCTTTCCCTTCCGACATCCCTATGAATACTGTAGAGCTAATTCACACATATATGATCCTCACTTAAAACCAGAGTATTGAGCAATCACTTGCATCTATAGAAATAGCCATTACAGATCAGAAACCATAAATTAAAATGATTAATAATAGTTGTATTTAGGACCAGGTACTCACAAAGCAATGTACAAAGAGAAATCAGATACATATGCACTAAAAACAGCTGTGAATCACACAAGCTACTAACAGTCTTATTCTAAGTTTTCAAGGCCTGCATAAAGTCTTGTACTAATAGGACGAAGGCATAAACCAACTGGATAGGACTTCTAAAACAGTGGTGTCACTACTGAGAAGTCCTTGTTTCTCCCATTCTCCACCCTTAACTGACTTTACCAGTGTGCACAAGACAGAGCCTCCAGTATCAGTTGGATAACCATGTAAATGAAGGCGAGTGTGCTCCCTGCACCCATGATTTGGCCTACCCCTCTCATTAACCCTAACCCTCATAAGTCATCCGGGAGGGCTGAGAGCAGTGGCCAGCCAAAATACCTAGATGGCCACAAGATGCGCAACCCTCCCGTAAAGTAGCCCAATTGCAAGCCATTGAGAGCTTTAAAGGTGAACATCCACGTTATATTGGATCGCAGCCAGCCTTTCTTTCCGATATGCGCGTTTGCTGTGGAGAGCAACACGGCTCCGCACCCACAAACTAGAAGAGCACTCCACAATGGGAATCTTCTTTCTCTGCCTGCAAGGGCACAGTCCAGACCCAGACTTACCACTTCACCTCACAGAAAATGATACGGTAGGCGCTTCCTAAGAAAAGGCAAGAAGCGCCAGTTTTGAACTGAATGTACATTCTCAGCACTTAAGGCTGGACACTCCAATTGAAACTGTGGGGAACACAACACTCGTGCCTAGTCTCTCTCGTGTGCAAGAGAAAATCAAGCTAAGCAAGGACTCGAAACCAAAGCTTCGGTATCCTATACCCTCTGTATGTCACAGTCCCAATAAGAATACCTAAACAAAGGTCGCAGGGTCCCGCCTGGTGCCGAAAGGAACCTGAGAAAATCCGCCCCCGCCAAAGTGACACTGCAACGGGGCGGGGGGCGGGGAGGCACGTCTCGATTTCGTTCCTCCTCTTCCCTTCCCTACTACTCGGCCTCTCACCATAGCGGAGAACTGGTTGCTGCAGCCCCGTCCCGCCACGGCCAACAGTCCCGCTCGCCACAGCCACAGGCACCTCTGCCCGCCGGCCCCGGCGCAGCCCAGCATGGCCTCGGCGTGTACCCGCCCCCGCAGGCCTCACGCGGAGCAGCGCCTGCGCCCCGCGCGCGGGACCGCCACCTTCCCGCCGCGGCCGCGAGGGAGCGCTGTGCGAGCCCCTGGCTCGGGAGCCGGCGCTTCGGTCCCGCCCCCGGCCGAGCGGGGCGGGCCGCGCTCGCACCTCGCGCCGCCTGAGCGGAGCGGCGGCGCGCGCTTGTTGGGCTTCCGCGGAGCCCTGCACCCGCGGAGGCGATGCCGCGCTGTGCCTTAGGGCAGAAGCTCCGCTTTCCCTCAGAGTTGTAGCGTTGCGGGGGCGAGGAAGAGGAGGGATGGCGCTGTGGTTTGCCCCGCGCCGCAGCGGCATCACCTGGTCCAAGGGAGGCAGCTGGCTGAGCGCCCTCACCTCGCGCCGCGAACCTTCTCAACACCCAACACCTGCGACCACAGGAAAATAAAAACCCTTTCCTACCGCACATACCTAGCAGTACTACCTATACAGGTGGCTTGCAAGCAGCCTCCATCTTACCTAAGTGGGGAGAAGTCCACCCCTTTTGCTGCTACTGGGTACTGGTGCCACCTAAGGAAGGGTCAGAGAGCAACAACTCCGTTAACCCAGTAACTACTAAAAATGCACTTTTTTCCTTTTTGAATTATTTGTACACGAGAGTGCACACACTCAAGCTCATAATAAGGCATCTACCTTTATGAGTGCCTATAGACTTAGGTCATGATAAAAGTCAACAATCCTCTGTATGTTGTTTCCACATCTGACCTGCTTAACTAGATATTCCTAAGTTTCTGTTAGGCTATGTAGTAATATATTTTGCACCCAAAAGTAGGCATATACACACAGGTTGGAACACTGACATTTAATAGGTTTATTGTGATACAGTAGTCTCAAAAATGCCACAGAAGTATGATGTTGCTGGATATATTGTAGCCATGATTTATTGTAGCTGGATTTATTCTTCATATTGGGTGAACTCTTACGTCCAGTAGGATTCTGCTCCATTCCTCCACAACAAAGCCCCCAACAAATCTGCTTCAGAGGGTGACCCAAACCTCCAGGGACAGGGTTTTGAGAGTACACATGAAGACACAGTTAGTAGGAGCAGCTTAGGATTACAACTTAGTTTAATACTGCCTATTTTAAAGTTTTCTGTTGATTCAAGCTATTTTAGTAAAAACACAATACAAAATCATAGTGAGAAACAATAAAACTATACCATTCACTTTCAAATAGTATAATCACACCAGTGCTTCAAGTAACTTTGCTAAGCATGAAATAACATACACCTTTCCCATTTACAATTGTTTTATATCTGTGGTTTTTGCTATGCATTCTGCCCTCTTAGAATGCCAAAATATATTGTTCAATCAGCCTTAAGTAAATGTCAGGTTTACACATCAGAAATTAATGAAACTTACCTTTAAACTCCTGTCATGAACTACAGCAGCAATAATTCAAATACTGTGATCAGAGCACCACAAGTGTGACAATTTCAGCAGTCTAATAACATTATAGGGTTTAAACCTGGACTCAAGAACATACAACAATACAAGACATATCTGATAAAGAAGTTAATTCTGATACATTTCCTACCTACATTAAAAATGTGGGTAGGGGCTCCACCTAGTTCAATATAACAATCCTACTCTAATGTAGGTTACACAGCATCTGAGATGCAAAACAAAAACCCCAACACAAAAAGGTCAGGGAACTTTCTAAAATCTAAGCTCATACCTATGTCTGTTATTTCCATTTTCGAATCATCTGCATCTGCAGTCATCTTCCAAGGTACAAAACATCCTTGTAATTTTCTACAATCTGAAACTGTTTGTTTTCCCAAAGACCAGAGAACCCCAGAAATCTCCCAATCTCCACCCACACCCCTAAATGAGCTTCTAAAGCATGTCACCAGGATGCATTTTTTTGTCACATAAAATTGATCCAGCAGCATTTTATTAGTAATTTCCAACTACACGTCTTCATATTTGTAGCACAATTTCTGATCAGGAATGGTGTGTGTTCTGGAACACATGATGAACAAGATAGGGTTCCGGCTCACAAGAAGTCACAAAGAGTTGACTATCTGTACAATTTTATGTAGCTTAACTTGTTTTGAAATTTACAGTTCTGTTCACGTATCATTCCTGGTGCTCTTGATCTTGACCAGGTATTAACCACCGAATACTCTCAGTTCGAACAGTAGCATACATGATGAAACTGATAAGAAATAGTAAAGAAAATAAAAGAAGCCAATCTATTCCTCTGCTCAGTGTGCTAGGCAGGGGACCAACTTGATCTTCTTCAGTCACTGCCACATCAGTCTTGGGCTCTATTCCTGAAATATAAACATTTATTACTTTGAGAAAAAATTCAGTAGAACCATGCTATAAGTATTTGTATATAAGCACCTGCACAATCATTTTGAAATCATGGTCAAAAAAGTCATTACCTATCAAAGCTCTGTAGATTTCAAAATATATTCTATGCTGTATTGCAGAAACAGATATCTTGTGGTATCATGTAAAATATGATCCACTCTGAAATGTATACATATTTTATTGATGTTTGCAGTTCAGTATTTCTACTTCTCCCAACAAAGTACAGCATTATCAAATATAGTTATATTATCAAATATACATCCAATTTCATGATGGCTTATTACCTCATTACAAATTCAGTGCAACAGTCAAGTTTTGCAGGAGAACAGTAATACAAACTGGACAAATAAGTTCCCTAGTCTTCTCAGTCCTGTTTACATCAGTATAGGACAGGGGTCAGTAATATGGTATCTGCCTAGACCCCTTCTTCACCTCCAATTCTTTTCAGTATTGCCACTTCTCTCTTCCTCCCACCCAGAAAGCAGGAAATTGGCAGCAGCAGCACATGTAGGAAGCTGCAGCATGGAAGCGACAGCAAGTGTGTGAAACAGCAGGGAAAGAAATTGTGAAGGGAGGAATGTGACATCAGGGAGAAGGAAGGAAGAAGAAAGGAGTAGTGTGAAAAGTACATTCCAAGCAGAAAGAAAAGGGTAGGGAGGCAGGAAAGAAACTCTTGAAGAAACAAATTTACCCATGGCCCCAAAAGATTGCCTACCCCTGGTACAGAGAACATTTAGCAACTTTTCTTCTCTCTTTACCTCACTCTCTTTAATGAACCAGTGAAAAAGTCCTGAGCTTGGTTGGTTGGTTAAGCTTTCTCAGTTATTTGCTGCAGTAGATGAGGATTGAGTTGAGGCTGTTCTCACTGACCATCTTTTGTAGGAGATAGACAACTGTTTCCTTCCCCGGTAACTCAAGAAGAATGAGGTAACTTTGGCAACAGACATCCTTAAAACCTTGCACTCAACCCTATCCCCATAGTCAATCCAGGAACCAAGGACTTATACATGCACTTCCATGCCTAACCTTTGCTCCCATGCAAGCGTTAAAGGATTCCTAAGCCACCTTACTGAAAAAAGCGGGAGGGAAAACATGAACTTCAAACTCAGATATCTCGTTATGGCTATATAGCCCAAACAGTTCTGAGGAAAAAAAGAGAGCAGTATGCAGGGGACAACAACAGAAGGAGGGAATCCCAACATATGCAGCAGTAGAAAAATGATTAGGAGAAATCCTAATGGACAATCCCCCCACCCCAATAAGAGAGGGTGGGGAGAGAGACCATTTAACTGTCAAGTGTTAGCTGGGGTGGGGAAGAACATAGAGTTAAGAACAGAACAGTGTTTCCTAAAACAAGGTATGACTGGAACACTGGACAGAAGTACCCCACACTGCCATACTGTGTTTAATGGTCTTTACTCGCAATTAAATGTATCATGGATTGCTGTCTTCCCTCAAATTCTCAATACCGTCTTCCTTCAAATTCTCATAGTGTGATCAAGGCTGAACAGTGCTTCCTATTATTCTTCCAAATCAAGGCAACAGAAAAGTTCATGGAGACCAAAAAGTAAACTTCCTAAACCTAGATCTAAATGGAACTATATCAGCCTATTCTCTCTGAAAGTTTGTTAAATGTGGCAGTCTTACCTGTCTGATTATAAATGAAAGCTTTCAGCATTTCCAAGGTTCGATCTGTATGGTTAAACCTTGCCATGGGCTTAGCTCCTTGAAAAAGAAGGATGTTAGGAACTGCCACAGTTCCAAATCTGGTTGACAAACTGCAAAGGTACAAGTGTCACCTTTAGTAAATAGATCATTCATTTAATCCTGTTAAAAACCAAGCACTCAGTTATTTTGTATTACAAAGTTTGGGCTACTGCATACCTGCAGTGGGACATTTTAAAAGGTAACACAGTGGGCAAGGATAAGTCTTTCCATATTGGTCATCACTATCTTAGCCTCAAATATGTGTTCAAGAAACTTCATTGATTAGTGTGAAATCAACAAGATTTAATAAATTTTTAATTAGAAATAAACAGCCTTCATTTTAGACTACCAATTTACTGATGAAGCGTTACTCAGTTAAGGTACATTTCAAAAATTCAAATATAGAAGAAAGTTGATGGCAATAAAAACTTCTCTGGCAAAACCATACGCAGAAGGACACAAGTATTTGCACATCATTACTCCATCTGTGTATTTTAAAAACACGTGTTCAGCAATATAAAAGATTAGGACAAACACAGCAGCAACCTGGTTCTGAAAGTTTCTGATATAAAAGTTACCTGCTGTGCTGAGAAGCATCTAATGCCAAGAAATGAAGAGTTGGGAATGCTCGAGGCAAGGAATTAAAATGAGGAGCCAGATTGGCAGAGAAACGGCACCAAGGGGTATAAAACAGGACCAATGTACAGTCACTTCCATTTGGATTTAAAAACTCCATTAAATCCTGCGAGAAGGAAACATTTTTGTTAAAAAAAGAATCACCATTACTCATATTATGTATTACAAACAAAATGAAATTTTCTATTCAGTAAAAAGATGTATTTCTAATCTACTGGCGCAATAGTAACATAATGAATTTAACCATCATTGCAATGAGGAGACTCAGCAATATGTCGGCATTTGCTAACTAACATATGTGTTACCTTAGTATCAAGCATTGCCTGTTCTCTAGCAACTCAGGCACAATTCACAGCTTTATGTTGGTTTTCTTCTATTTTTTCCCCATTTAACTGTTCTTAATGAAAAATTGATTCCTTTGAAGAGACTGTTAATGTAATTAAAAACATCTTTTAACTATTACCTATAACAGGCAATCCAGGAACCAACAATGCTGCCAATTCCAACTAAAATAACAGCTACTTTTATCAAAATTGAAAATGATCAAGATTTAAGAAATGATAAGCCAAAATTACTAGCCCAGATAATGCTGCATGTCCTTCATCCAAGTGTAGTCTATACTGCTTACTTCAAAAAAACACTTTAAAAATGTAACAATAGATATTCAGCACATGTATGAGAGATACAGAACCTCCAGCCTGTGGGACATCCCAGTCCAGTCCATGTAGCTTAGGCTCAAAGATCTACCCCATGGAAGAATCTTGTTGGGAGGACATCCCCCACCCTGGCACACTGTTAACTCTGATCAGAGATAATAGGGATTCCCTGCTGACCTGGAGCAGCAACAGACCTCCCACCATGCCCATTATCTCTGATCTCAGACTAGAAATGCCAGCAGAGATGTGGGATGATGGAGACTGAACTTGCCTGTTCCAGGGAGAACTGCTACTTCTCCCCTCATGGACAAGTCGCCTTCTGCTTCTCTTGCCCTGTCTTGTTCCTGCAATGGTGGAAGGAAGTCAGGTAGGCAAAGCAACTGAGATTGATTTGCTCCTTCCTTGGAAAAGAGAAGGAGATCCAGCCACCTCAGCTTCACAAGTTCGGCCTCCTTCTTCCAACCTTAGCTGCAAGGAGGTGGAAAGCAAAAGCAGGAGTGTGGCTGATCTAGTCTCCACTGTTCATTTTTGCTGTGTGCCAGGGTTTCACAAGCAATAAGCCTGCTCCTCAGTCCATGCACTGAGTGGAAGATCCATCAGGGGCTTTGGCCAAAGAACATATGACATCAGGTAGGTATGGCCACACCCATCTGACATCATATGGTCTATAAAAGGCTTGGTAGGGGCTCATCTGGTCCCCCACATGAAACTAATTCTGCATCTAATTTATATAATGCTTCAAAGTGCATTACAGAACTCCAGTGCTCAACAGTTATGAATGCAGGTCAGTATTATATTCTCTCCCTGACAAACAAGGAAGACTCAGACTACCTAAATGGTGGGTGCATAATTTGAACTGGAAGCGTCTTAACCACCTAGAAAATACGCTGCACTAATATTCAATCATTATGGACAAATATGGCTATGCATTATCTCAATAATAGAACAGTGTTACCCTGAGCTTCCACTTATTAAGAAGTAGGGACACATAGCAAGACGTGAAAAAGGGCCCTGTCTAGAACAATACTTTCAACTGACAATTTCAAATTAAAAGAACACACCCTTTGAAAGTGGTGGTCACAAGCTACAACAGTATTCTTCCAAAGCTCTGAGCAGATATCAAGACATTTCCATCATTATAAAACCCATGAAAATGTATAGTTTCAAAGCCAAAATACAGAACATTTGTTTCCCTCACAGTGTTAATAACAATTAAGAACAATAAACAAGATTTATCCAAAATCTTAGCATTTTAAGTTAAGCATTGTAAAAATACAAATAAAGCAATTAAAGATCTGCTTAATTTGAGATGTAAGAAAAATGATATGAAAACACAGTGGAAACATTCAGGCTTTGAGAAAAGAAATATAAATGATACATAGCAGAATCTATCCTTTTTATTTCCTGAATCATTTAATTAACTGATACTTCCTAGATTTACATGAAGAGTTGTGCTGTATAGAATGCTGACAAAGAAAAAAAAAAGAAATCCAAAGAAAAACAAAAAAAATCGTAAAATAGAATAAGATAATTTAAATAGAAATTGGTTAGAATGCTTTCCACTTACTTGGGAAATATTCAAGATTTGTAAGGTGAAATTAGTCATCCCTGTAATGTTTCTTTCCTCACAATTCACTTTTGGAGTTTTCATACTGTCTGTGCTATTAGAGTCTTCTACTGATGAAGGATGCACTGCCTCCAGTATTACAGGTGGCTCTATTATTGGATCCTGTGCATGAAATTCTGGCTGAGATAGAGATGAAGCGATACCCTGTGTACTACATTCACCATCAACTGCTGCATCACAGGTGTCCGTGTCTGATTCAAATAGATTTCTCTCCTTTGTCTCACCTGGAATAACTGACAATACTACAGGCTGACTTGCAGGCATGCCACTACCCATCATAGCATCAGCAATCTCTGCAGTCCTGTACTGAACTGGTTCCTTAGGCCCATTGTTGCTTGCATGTGCAGAATTGCTTTCTACACTGAATGGTGGGATAGTTTCGCTTAACTTTTCAGACAGGAAGTCAGTAGTTTCATCTCTTTCAGCTACTGCTAGAAAGAAAGAAAGAAAGAAAAAAGAAAGAACGAACATGTAACTGTAATTATAAACAATATGAATTCATCTACCTTCATTCATAATTATCATTGCTCCAGTGCAACTTAATTTCAAGTAGTGTTTACACTGTTAGGGTTAACTGCAAGACTAAAGAACATTTAAATAGAGGGGGCACCCTTGAATCTTCAAGAGCTTTTATTTTGTTGTTAGTCTCCTTAGCATAACTGCAAATGAAATGGAAAAGCCTTTATCTCGACAATGTGGAAGTGGGTGGATTTTACAATCCTGTAAAATATAAAGTAAATTGAAAGGGCACTAAGAAAGAAGACCATTCATACATTCCATCCCAGTGCCTCCCATAAATAAGCCTTGTCACAAGATCCTGTCATGAAATATTCAGTACTATTGATCAAAGTTTGCTGCATTTTACACTCATTCTTGGTACGTTTGCCAACTGACACAGAACACACTGGTGAGTTTTTCTTGCTTGTACTATACTATAGGCTGCATCTAGATTGAATTTTAGACTTATTTGGATATGCTAGACAAGAAGACTTCAATATCCCAATACTTTTATTTGTATTTTAAAACAGTTTTTGTTTATTAAAAACAATGATAGCAGCATCCATGGGCAGGCAAAGGAAACAATGGCAGTCAACTGTGAAACCTTTCAAATGTCCCACTAGTTACTCTCATATTTGGCTGCAAGAAACCTGGCCATTTTAGAAAAAGAAAAAGAGTGAGTCAGAAGGGGTCTCCCGGGCCATCTAGTCTGACCCCCGGCTCCAGCTGGCTCCACTCACAACATGCCCACCATGTGTATGTCTAGCCTATCCCTGAACACCCTCCCCGATTTTATTAGTTTTCCAAATTTTATGAATGTTCTCCCCTTGCATAATTGGGCTTCAGGCTGTAGGTATGTTGATTTGCTCGATCTAACAATATTATTACCCAATTCAGTATGCTTATCAAAAAGGAAACAACACCATCTCTCCATAAACACAATGGCAACTTTGACTATGATTCTATATACACGCCTTTTATTCTACTACAGCAAGAGTGGGCAATTTCACACACAAAAAAAAACCCCTAGAATCTCTGTGATCTATCAGGATGGTCTAAACTTGTATATCAAGAGCACACATTTGGGGTTTCTTAAGACATAAATAATGCGTCAAGGGCTTCTGGACACGCCGGTCCTGCTGAAGAAGAGGTTGGATTCTTAACCTCCACCCAGCCGGCGTTCTTCCTTTGCAAATGCAAGCTATCTTCGGCCGACTTCATCGCTGTAGCCGTGAGAGCAACACAGGAGCCTTTGCTGCTTTCCTCTCTAAGCTCACAACAAACGCGAAGCAAAACGGTGTGAGCCCCGGTGCTCCAGCAGCGGGGCACCCAAGCGACGCCCCACCTCCCCTCAGCAGCTCTCCCGATGGGCCGGTCCGTTCGCTCCCTCCCCGCACCCGCGTCATCGCCATGGAAACCCCAAGACCCCCTCACCTGCCAGAAGGCTCCCAAGCAGGCAGGCCACCCACGGGCGCCACCCCTGCCCGCGCCAGGACAAATTCATCCTCCTCCGCCTGGCAAGGGAAGGGGCTGCGAGGGACGCAAGGAAACAAACCAGCAAAACAACCGGCAAACAATCTCTAGCCCATCTGCAACCACTTCCGGGTTTCCCCTCCTTTCCGCTTCCGGGGCACTCCTGAAATATACAAGTGTCTATGGAAATTACTCGGATAGGAAGTCTTTAGTTTGCAAACCGGATACCCTGGTTATTTTTGACGTGCTGACCTTCTGTTTTCAGGGTGTGTCCCCATGCGCGTTTAGATGACAACAACAACAACAACAACAACAACAACAAATGTCCTATTCTTTGTCGCCATGCTGGAAAATGCTGGGAGTTGTAGGACTTTTTTTTGTTTGAACATGCATGCTTGTTTATAATTGGGAAAAGGACTAGTAGGAGGCAAGGTAGGACTGCAGGACCTCGTCTTTGCAAGAATTTGGTAGCACTGTATACCCCCGAGCCTGCTTAAGCAACAATCTGGAAACGTAAATACAGAAAACTGCATTTTTCTAACTCAGATCTTGTCGTATGAGAAAAGATCTTTTTAGGGTTTTTCACATAATTGCTGTGCAAAGAGAAATAAACTGCATAATATTATTGCCCCCCAATTGCAAATGAGATGGGTTGAAAATGAGAGCTATTATAGCCATACTGAAAGAACAAGTTGAAGCTTACTCGTGTAACCCTCCTAATGTCGTCTAGTTGGTTATTCCCATGTTGCCCAGGTCCGGAGGAGACAATCCTGGTCCATCTATTTGCCAATAAATATGTTGTTCTTGCCATTCCCAACACTGATCAAAGGGATCTCAACGCTGGCTATCAGATAGAGCGTCTGCCATTCGAGATTTATTCTTTGCAGTAGGCAACTTGGTTCCCTTTAGAAGTTTTGGACTACAGCTCCCACAACCCCTGAATGTCGTCTATGCCGTCTGGCTGAGGTTCATGGAGTTCCCGTAGAAATCCTCTTTGGCGAGTCCGTTCTGTCGTGGGCAGGATGTTGGAGCTGCCTACGAATTCCATCTTGGATTTGGGCAAAAGGGACCCATCCGTCTTGGACACGCTTTCGAGCGGGAGTGTCCGTTCGCTCAGTGCTCTTCGAGACGCAAAGCCAGTCGGATCGAGAAAGGAGGCGCTAAGCAGGGAAAATGGGGCCGGCAGTGGTCGCTATTGGTCTGCTTTTCATTCACAGAAATGAGAAGGAACTATAAGGCACGCAGTCGCCAATTAGAACAGTGTTAATTTAAGCAAATTCACTCAGAAAGTGCGGAACATTAAGCCTAAATCGATCCCGTACTTTGATTCTTCATCTCAGTAAACTGGAGGCAAGTCGTCATTTGCATTCTTTTTAGAAGGTGTAGGATTATTTTAAACATCATCTTCCATACCTAATTGTTCGTTTTAATATGGAAGTTTACACTGTACAATTTAACAGCAACGGTAACAACACAAAAAATAAGGAGGCAGCTGTAATGATTCCATTGAAGCAGTGTGTACAATCATTTTTAGCCAACCCGACAGCCTTCCTTCTTTGTTAATACACAACAATATGATTTTCATACAGTTAGGAATTAGTCCCTGCTAAATTCTCATTTGCTGAATGAAGGTAACATTTCCTATGGGTAACATGATCCCATTTCAGCATTACTGATAGCAAAAAACAAAACAAAAAAAATTCCCCAGATATTTGAACATTCAGTTTCTGCCCACAAATACAACTATTTAGAATAGCTGAACTGGTAGTCCCTGGGTTGCAGACATGTTCCATTCCTGAGAACAACCTTAAGCTGGAATGGTATTTAAGTCACATCACATGAGTAAGCTGAATGTTTCACCTTTCTATGCATTAATATACTTAAGAAACATTTATGCACTAAAACATCTTAAACACAATACGGCAATGTAATAATGATAATAATACAGTAATAATAAACTACAGGTACTGAAGAGAGAATCTGTATGTGTGTGTGTTTGTATACAATATTGAAAAAATTGTCAGAACTTGCCTCTTAGGGCTGGTTTAATATATGTTTGAGCTCTTCATTGTCTGTCTGTCTTTAATTTTATTCTAAACCCAAGGGAAAATAACTTGGATTTTTTAAAGTGACTTACCAGGCCCTCATTATTTTCCAAAGTTCTCTGATAATGGGCTGCTAGGGCAACATAGGCCAGTGCCTGCTTTTTACATTCAAACCATTTTAATCCATGGATCCATGTACAGGGGCAGAGGTGGCTGAGCGTTTGTTGAGCTATCAGTTCCAGTTCCTGATGGAGCACAAGGCTTATGTGGAAGAAGGGGCAAGAATGTTGTCTGAGATGTTGAAGAGCTCATTGGAGAAGGTGAAAACATTTGATCTAAGAAAATGGGATTCTGTGACTATTTTAGGGAACTATGCAGCCACTGATTATGTATTGCCAAATGCGTCCCTAGAGACAGCCATTACTATTTCTAGCAAATCTCTTACCTCCAGAGAAAAGCTATGAATATCTCTTGGGAACTATGTGGTCACTGATGACCAGTTGCCAAATGTGTTGCATAGTTCCCAAGAGATATTCATGGCTTTTCGTTAGAGATACCTGTAAAGGATGGGAAATAAATGTGACCAATTAGATAGATAGATAGATAGATAGATAGATAGATAGATAGATAGATAGGGTTTGTGGCAGTCTGTGTGTATTCATAAGTACTGTTTGTTTGTATTCCAGACATTCATCACCTGGGGATTACCTGCATAACACAACAAAACATTTAAGGGAGTTTGAGAGTATGGGTGCTGATGACATACATTCTCTCTCTAAGGCATCATCCTCCATTGTAATAAGTAGAATTTCTACAATGTTACAAATCACAAGGAACTTTATTAGCTAAAAACTACCTAACAGCATATGACTTCAACAAGAAGAGGCAGATTATATGTAACTCTCCATGAAGATGAATCCTGGGAGTCGGTACATGAAATAAACTATGACTTAGTCTCTTAAAAGCAAGAAGACCAGCCCACCCACCCCCAGGAAGAAAATGAACTATATTATGGAGTACAGTTTTGTACAGAAATTGCCTTGGTCAGAGTAGCCTTGGCACTTGTTGCCTTGACCTATGTGGAGATATATAACCTGTGCCTATAAAAAGTTTAATTATTCCAAACTGGAGATTGTAGAGCTTTTTTCCCACATTTGAAGGCTGTAACCACACCAGAGCCTAAATCCCAAAGATTTTCCCATTGCACTGTGCTAATCTCCAAGCTAATATTAAAGACCATGCTCCTACTTCTATTACGTACATGGAAATAACTTCCACTAGAAACCAATGAAGCTTACTTCAGTGTAACACATTTACCCTGAACTCACTTTGTAGACATGAAATCACAAATAAAAAAGGATGTAGAGTTTTAAAAAGTTTGGGAAAGCACAACTAAAATTGTTGTATCCTGCTGGGCTATTCAGCATGTAACTTTGAAAATAAATAAAAGAAATTATCAATGGGCCGGAATAGTTTGCCTATGAAGAAAGGTTGCATTATCCAGTATGGGGAGGTGGTGCATTGAGATGAGTAAGAGACATTATATGGGTGTGCAGCATGATGGAAGCTGAACAGAAAGTAGATAAAGAGACATTTCTCCGCCCCTCATAATCCTGGAACCCAGGATCATCCCATGAAGCCAATTTCTGGGAGATTCAGGACAGATAAAAGGACCTATTTCTTCACGTAATAGCACATAGTTAATCTATGGAATGTATTTGATTTATTTATTTATTTGCAGCTTTTTTATACTGTTCACAGCTATCAAAGCTCTCAGAATGGTTTGAAACAAAACAGTTCCACAGGATGTAGTGATGGCCACCAGTTTGAAGAATTGTAAAAGGCGATTGGATATGTTTCCAGAGAAAAGGGATATAAATGAATACAAAGCTATACAGATATTGTTTCTATGCTACCTCCAGTCTTTAACTTATTTTATTGTGAATTTCAGTTCAAAATCAAGCCCAAAGAAAAAAGGGAGCAAAAGCAAACATGAAATTTACATAAAATTAAATATTGCCATTTTCTTACATGAGATTTAATTAAATCTATTACTATGTATACTATGTATCCCGAAATATTTTATATATAGCAAGACAGATATCCATAGACAGTCCAATTATTCATATATTTTTCCATTCATAAATTATGTCTAAAAACCATGAATTCAAAGGCTGAACGTTTCATTAAATTTTCTACCCACTTTTTATTGGAGGTGGCTATTTATTCTTCCAGTGGTGTAGTATTAGCCTTTTAGCTGCCAAAAGAGTACATAAAATGCATATACACTGACCTTGCATTAAGTTCGAACTGCTAGACAGATTGTTAAGAATGTGCATACCAGTACATATTTTTAAAAGTTCTCCTGCAATCTTGGCAGAATTAGGCCTATTCACGCTAGCTGGTTGGCTACTGTGTCAACAGAATGCTGGACTAGATGGACGCTTGTCTGTCCAGGGCTCTTATGTTCTTAAGTTAATTCTAAAACCTACTGACATACAAAATGGTCTTATATATTTATGTCAGGTCTGTGAAGTTTTAGTGACTTGTGTGACATGTTGATGCATATTGCTGGTTATGTTTGTAGGTGCTTTGCTTCTGCTCAATCACATCGTGCTTCCTTAGAATGTGTCGTTTGTATTTATATATAACCACTTCTTGTGGGTTTGTGTGTGAGAGAGCGAGAGCAAGTGTGAAGGAGCGTAGTGGCATGAACTGATTAGCAGTTTCTGGCTTGGCTCATTTCTTCTAGTGTGCTGCTCTACATCTTGGACTGGATCCAGCACTGAAGCTGCCAGCACAAAGACACCACTTGGAGAATAGGACTTTTTCTCCTCTCTTTCTTCCTGCAGTCTCACACATGCACCCTTCAAATAAACTACAGGGGCTGGGGAGTGGAGTTAGCAAAATGAAGACTCGAGATCCACACTCTGATCTCCTGGTATTTCTACAACATTCCCTGAATTGTCTGTCTGTAATAGTAACTGTGGAATATATTACTACATGGAGGTTTGTTGAACGCACTACCTTAGCTTTCTTGCACTCCCATTAATAAAAATGGCAAGTAAAGATACATTATAGGATTCATCAGCTGCGCCCCTACCTGGAGAACGACTGCCTGGCGACAGTGACACATGCACTGGTGACTTCCCGTCTTGACTTCTGTAACGCGCTCTACGTGGGGCTACCCTTGAAGACGGTCCGGATACTTCAGTTGGTTCAAAATAGAGCTACCAGGCTGCTGACGGGGACTGGGCGTTATGGTCACATGACTCCAGTTCTCCGTCAGCTTCACTGGCTTCCCATTGAAGTCCGGGCCCAATTCAAGGTGTTGGTAATGACCTATAAAGCCCTAAACGGCTTGGGTCCTGGTTACCTGAAGGAGCGCTTACGTCCATATATGCCCAGCCGCCCCTTGAGATCAGCGGGAGAGGCCCTTCTCCGGGAACCCTCCGGGAAGGAAATTAGGAGGATGGCTACTCGGAGGAGGGCTTTCTCTGCGGTGGCGCCCAACTTATGGAACACGCTCCCCAGAGAGGTCCGCCTGGCGCCGTCGTTATTTGCTTTTCGGCGCCA